GTGGACCAGGCCGGCCCGGCGAGCACCATCAGCACCCGCTTCCAGTTGGAGCAGCCGGCCTTGGGCACCTCGCAGTAGAGCACGCGGTGGCGGTCCTCCACGAAGATGCGCGACACGTGGCGGGGGGTGACGGCCCTGCGGCTGCCGCTCGCCCGGTACTTGGCGCACGCCTCCCGCATCACGCGTTTGCGCTCCTGCTGGCTCTGGTGCAGGCTCGCCCAGCGGCGGTCCAGGGCCCGCGCTCCCGGCCGGCCGGAGGCCCCGGCAGAGCTGTTGGCCGGGGCGGCCGCCGCCACCGGCATCTTCTTGATAAGCAGCCGCCGGCGGCGCTGCCGGAGTCGCGGGCGGGCTCCCAGCTTCAGGTGGGGCTGAGGCCGGCCAGGCACCGGCGGGCTGAGGTCCCTTGGAGCCCAGCTGGACAAGTCCCGGGCGACCCTCTCTGTAGACACTTTCAAGTCACCACCCTGGGAGCTGCCTGGCAGGAGGTCCTGGGGCAAGAAGAGAGACAGTTACCAGGGTGGACAGGACAGATGGGCACTGAGGGTCACACAGGCCAGGCCCTCGCCGTGGCTGGGGTTCCTGCCCCATCTGTGGTCCAGGTTCTTCCCCAGGTGAAGGAGAGAAGACAGGCTGACCCTGCAGGTGTGTCCCCTGTGGTCTGAGCCCTGGTCCAGCACAGGAAGTCCTCCCTCCCCTCAGCTGGTCTTGCCACTAGTGTGGGACCTAAGGTGCGAGTCTCATTTCGGCCACAAGGTGGCACAGTCCTCCCAGGAACCTCCGCCCAGCGAAGGTGGGCGGGTGGGAGCTGGCGGACTGAAGGCCCAGATTTACGGCGCCTATTAGTACAGTCCAAAGCAGCCATCTAACCGGAAAGGGGCATTCATGAATCTAAGGCCCTGGGCTTTGTTCCCAAGACTCCTAGGAAGGACTGGACACATTTTTCTTTCCAAGAATGGATTCAATGTGAGCTCCAAATTTTCTTCCCTGCTTTCCCCAGGCTGTATGTGCTGAGATTGATCTGACTCTCGGAACTTACGTTGTGAGGCTGCTGTGGCCTGATGTTGAACTTTATTCCTGAAAAGCAAACAGAGAGGACAGTATAGCAGCGGAAATACCAGGTGGCTTGCAGGGACTTGCATATGGGCTTGAGACTGTGGATGTTCGGGCTGGAAGAAGCCTGGAGTGGGCTCTAGGGAAAGACAGTTCTGGGGGCAGGAGGAGACCGTTTGGGCTCAATGCTGGAGCCCCTCCATCCCCTACCCCTACAGAAAATGATGCAGCATACACGTGGTCCCGCTGGCTCCCACCTGACTCTTGCTTCTCTGCATCTTGCCTCCCAACGTGACCTGGAGGGTCTGGAAAGGTACCCTGCCCAGGTGTGCCCACACATCTGCCCAGTGGAGCAGTCAGGGCTCTCACAGGCCACCCCCACCTCACCCCATCCTGTCATTAAGTCACAGGGAAAGGATCCTTCAGAAAGCTGTCCATCCCTTCTCCACACCTTGCCAGCCATGCCCTGGTTCTAGTTGCTGTGGGTTCTCTGTACTTGGAATACAACACATTTGCACCCACACCTTTGCACACACCAGGCTTGAGAACAGGACACATTCCTTCCCCTCTTGTCTGTGAAGTTCCCTAACCTGGACATTTGCTTTGCACTTTTGGCCTTCTCAGCTGGGCTTGGGGCTCTGAGGGTGAGCTGACCGTATCTGGCTACCCCGGTCTTCAAAGGGCTGAGCAGAGCCCAGGCATGGAGTGATTTTCCAGCAGGCACTTACTGGCAACTCAGGGAAGATGGAGCAAGAAAAATGCATCACCAGCCACACTCCGGAATGTCCCCTCTGCCCACCAAGGAGGCCCTCTTGCCTGGGCTGGGCCCAGGTCACCCAGGATAACGAGCTCTTGTGAGGTGGCCAGAGGAGAGGATTCTGCTTTATACATGTTTGGTCTGTTCATGGGGAAGGTCCTGGGAGGACAGGATTTGGGGAAAGCTATTTAGAAGTCTGGGCCTCCATCCCCAGTCCCTGCCTGGCTACTGAGGTGTCAAGGGATCTTTCTGCTCCTGAGCCATGTGGGTAAACATTTCTGTTCCGAGGCTTTGCCAAAAGCCACAGGCACAATCAGAACAAGAGACCCCTGAAACAAGTAGAGAGTTAGAGCTTCCAGCTGGCACAGCAGGCACCCTTCCCAACACACCCGACTGAGTCCTGGCTGCTGTGTGTGTGTGTGGGGGGGACGGTTCGGTGGCCCAATACTTCTCCTGCTGTCTCTGTGTACTTGGCAGAGGTCCAGTGGCTGGAGCCCAGCTGGCAAGGGGACATCCAGGTCGTCCCTGACTCTGAGACTCTGTGAATTCCTCCATGGCATCCGTTTTTACAGATGCAGCCAGTGCTAGGACCCTGGCCTTATGCTGGTCAGTGTCCACACATCTCCTTCATTCAAGGTCACCTCTGGGCTGGAAATCCTAAATTCCTGGAGCTTACTGGAATCTTTCTCAAGTCCCAAGAGAGGTGGAACAGAGGAAATACTTGGGTACTTTACCTCTTTATTCTGCTGATCCCTTTGGGATGGGAACATAGTGTGCCTTTCCCTGGGCAAAGAGCAGAGTGTCCCCACCTTCCTGAGCATTGCTGAGCTTATGTGCACGTGTGTGTGTGTATGTGGGGGAGCTCTGAAACAGGCCTTCCAGACTCTCACGAGGTTGAGGGGGAGCTCCACGTAGAGCTGGCTGCACCCCTCAGGGCATGGGGTGTGAGCAGTGGGTCCCTGGGCTGTGAGAGGAGCCTTTTAGAATGAAGCCCCTCACTGTGTCCTCCTCTCATCTCGCGCCTACAGCCCTCCTTGCCAGCCACCCCCTTCCTCTTCCCCACCTGTCTTCAGCTCGAGCTTCGTGAACTCATTTCTCTCTGGCATTAGGGGTTCTCTCCTGCAGCCAAAGATGACACATCCCTTCACCAGAAGGGACCTGCCGCACCACTCAGTTTTCCTCTACACTGCCGGGTTTCCTTAATTATTTTCTTCTGATGATGGCAGCTGGCTCTGCTAAATCACCTCTCCTCCTCAGAGTCTCAGATACAGGAATTTACTCTGCTTGACACGCCTGTCAACTTGTCAAGGTGTGATGGCGCTTATTTATATTCCTTTTCTGAAGCAAATGAGTCATGCCAGGTTTGGCCAGGAGTGGGGCTGAAAAGCCACTTCCAGAAGGCATCCTGCCAGTTGGTGAAGTCGGATGAAGATGTGCCTATTGAGGTTGCAGCCTCTAATGCTGTGACCTCCCACCAGCACCATCCCCACAGCCTGGGAGGGTGGCGGGCTCTGGGTCCTGTCCCATTTTATCTGTGCAGACTGGACAAGAGGGTGCCGTCTTCTGGACCTCTGGATCCTGAGCCTAAGGTAGTTTCCAAGGTTGGCCCACTCTCTGGCTGGCCTGGCTAGAGCCCTTGCCAGGAGCGGGAGGGAAAGTTCCCGCTGGACAGAGCATGGGGCTGGGTGAGTCTCCTGACCTCTTGGCCACATTTACCCACAAAGCCAACCTGGCTGCAATGGCCCCCTTTGAAAAGAGAAATTGTCCCGTGGACAGTAACAGATAGCAATAACAGAACTTATGTAGAGCCTGTGAGTTTGCCATAAGCTGTATGTTCCTGATCCTTAAATTTATGACAGCTCATGGGCAAAGATTAACCCTATCCCCACAAGGCCCCTTTGGAATAAAGACAGAAATGTAATGAAGGAAATGTAGGAGTTCTTCCCCTTGCCAAGGGTCCAGTGCCCCCACTTTTTCCATTAAAAAAAGCTACTCTTTCATGCCCTGGTCAGATAAAGGCTGAAGCAAAGACCGCCCCCAGCTCTCTGGGCAAGCCAAAGCCAAGAACCTTGGGCATCCTGAGGGGTCTGCACATCCCTTGCCAAGGGTCCAGTGCCCCCACTTTTTCCATTAAAAAAAGCTACTCTTTCATGCCCTGGTCAGATAAAGGCTGAAGCAAAGACCACCCCCAGCTCTCTGGGCAAGCCAAAGCCAAGAACCTTGGGCATCCTGAGGGGTCTGCACATCCCCCAGTGGTTGCACTTCAGGACCCGGGACAGCTCCGTGGCGGGACCAGGGAAGGGCTGCACCCATGGGGATAAGGAAGGTTTGCTGCCAGGAATCACTGGTACCAGTGCCATGGGAGACTTATGGGGGGTGCAGACTTATATTTGGCCTCAATATAACCACCACAACCCCTCCCAAGCCCCCGAGCAGGCTTACAATCTAGATAAAAACAGCGTGCTTGCTGGGCAACACAAGCCACGCCCCTCAGCCTGCTCTTCCACCCAGTGCCACCAATAACTGTCCACACCTCCTGTCTCCCCACCCCCACCCCATGACAGGTGAATCCTCAGCCCAGCCATGCACACGCTCCATTTTCAATGTCTGAGTTACCTGTTCTCTCCTCTCACTGAAATGTTAAAAATCTGTAAGGGAGCCTTGTCCCCCTGTGCAGGGAAGAAATAAACAACCACTTTCTCCCTCTGGACAGATGACATTAGCGGAGGGGCAGAAGTACACGCGCTACGGTGAGAGCGAGCGTCGGTGGAGATAAACAAGGCGTGAGTTATTGGGGCTGCCAAATGTGTCCACAGCCTGAACTCTTCATTGGCGGGAGAGCTGCTTCTCCACGTTTGGCTGAAAAGCCTTCTGGTTACCTGCTCGGGGGAGGCAAAGGCTGATGAGAATGTGCGGGGCCAGTTGCTTAATAATGAGGCTGTGTGGCCTGGGTCTGGGGCAGAGCTGGGGAGGGGGCTTCACCAGCATGTGGGCTGCTGGGGAGAAGGCTCCGTCGCCCACTCCCCTCCAGAGCCATGGGAGGGAGACTTGCCGGGAACTAAACAAAAGCCCCAATCTCCGAGGCCCAGGACTCCCTGGGGTTGGGGGTGGGGTCCGGACTTTTGGTCAGGCCATGTAGATGGCCAACACCAACATGGGTGAAAACAAGACCCAAGTGCCTAGAAAGGGCTGGAAGTGCCTCGTGGGCCCTTGACTTCCTCCAGCCCCAAGTGGATCATGCTTGAGGAGGGTGACAGCTGCTCAAATCCCAGCCCCCGTCCTCGATGGGCAGTGGTGAGAGGGTCCTGCCACTCTGAATGCTGCAGCTGGGGGAGGCAGGGTGTCCTTAAGGAGTCATGCCCACAGAGAGACAGGCATGGGAGAGCGCTGAGGGGACCAGGAGAGGCTGTGGGTTGGGTGCCAGTCCCAAGTCTCTGCCTTGTACGGAGTTTCACTCGTGGTGCTTGGTTCTCTCGTAGTTTCTTGATGGAGCTGTTTCCTTGGCCACTTTTCCATGTGCTGCATCTTCTGAGGGATGAGCCTACGTGGCTGCCCCACATCCATTTGTGCTGTCCACGCACATGTCCACTTATGCTGCCCAACAGGCCAGGGAACCTTCAGGGGTTTCCGCTGCTGCCCTTGGCTCTGGCTGGCCTGAGCCAGGGGAGACACTTCAGGCGAGGCCCCAGTGGCACCCTGGTTCCTGCATGTGCGCAGGATCCTGAGTCCAAGCTTCAGCCCCATCCTCATTTCCAACAGTCGCCTCTGGTGGGACCAAACACCATTGCCTTGGGCAATACAGGTGTCACCCCTGCTCTGCTGTTTCCACTTCCCAGTTAACAAGAAGCAGCTTCCACACCTAATGCATGTGCGAGAGAGAAAAAGGCCTTGGAGCCGCTGGGCAGCCCTGCACGCGGGAGCGCGCATGACCTCACACAGCAGTGCTGAGCCGCAGGGAACTGGCGGGAAATACAGAAGGTTTCTGAATGAGGGGGTGTATCAGGGTTCTCCA